ACTATATATATATATATATATATACACACACACACACACACACACACACACACACACACACACACACACACACACACTACATTTTGACGCTGTTTTTTTCTACTTTTTTTGTATATATAGGTTTCTGTATTGGCTCAGTCCCATACTACTTAATCATTGGTTCCACATCCACTCTGGTTTTGTAAGATTAGATTTATTAAACCAGAAACTAACAATAACTTTAACCTAGCTAACATTATATGGAAACATGCTATTTTCTTTAATGAAATTGTTTATTGCTTTTTAGTTGGTGTTTCAGGTTTTTTTCCCAACCATCACAGTAAAACATAAGCATTATATACAATAAAATTTACGTTAACCGTAGATTTACTGATAAGGTCAATATGGACAATCAGCTTTTTAAAGAAATTTTGTTTAACTACTTGTGCCTCAATTTTGGGTCCATTAATTTGTTGTTTACATGATCCTTAATCATTTTTGAGTTACCACAAACAAATATAAAAACAAAAATACCATCAATGTTGCAATTAATTCTGCTATATACTGCTGGGATCCCCCCTTTCTATTTTTGCATGGAAAATGTCCAATTGTATTAAGTGTTGTAACTGGCAAAAGCATAAAATTATTTCCTAACATGCAATATGTGGACAAAACTGGTGATTTATAGTATAAACACAAGTCATTAGTTTGAGGGTTAAAGCTTTTCTTTAATTAGAAATGATGATTATTTCCTTATATGTTTTATAATTATTAAAAATAACTTAAGAGCAAATTTCATGATTCCTGAAAACTTTCATCATAATGAATTAATGTCTAGATTTTCTTGTATCTTTTTATTTTATTATTATTATTATTATTATAAAACATGAATGGTTTATTTTATGTCATTCATAAAACTGAATTTTAATTAATTCTTGCACATGTTAGTTTCATATTTAAGATAATTACATTACTAATTACAGAAATTATTTTCCATTGCAGTTCAATGACTTCTTGTTGCTGTGTAGTCAAAGGTTAATCTCCAATCGAGTGGTCTCTGGCCCATGCTTCCGAGTGAGGGCAAAACTGGGTGTGGAAGGGCTTGTGATAGAGGAGGGTGACAATCTTGAAACAGCTAATACATTCTACATCCGCAGCACTGGAAGATCCATAGAACTCTACACACAGTATGTGACAAAATATTAGTTTCACACAAACCATTATCGTGATAATCTTAAATTAATGTGTTAAACTTATCTATATATAAATAAGTAGCTTTTTTTTAATTTTCTAACATTTTCTTTTTCTTTTCAGAACTATGAAAGAGAAAATTGCTTGGATGGAGGTAAATACCTCGTTAATATTTTATCTTTTACGTCTGCATCTTTCTCAGAAATACATTCAACATTTATCTCCAACATATGTATTTGTGTTCTTCAGCTAATTTGTTGAAAGATGCATGTTGCAAAAAGAAAGAAGTTATTAAATAGAAATTATGCTTCTCTATTCCCTGTGTATATATCCCGTAAAGAAAAGTACAAAATCTATGTGCTGAACATGAATTCTCACATACCAACATCCCACTTTAATTTACTTAGCAGCTTTAAATTTCATTAAAAATTAACACTGGCCATAGAAAATATCACTGTGTTTGATTATTCCAAAAGTTACGATTGACCTTGAAAACATCACTGTGTTTGATTATTCCAAAAGTTACGATTGACCTTAGAAAATATCACTGTGTTTGATTATTCCAAAAGTTACGATTGACCTTAGAAAATATCACTGTGTTTGATTATTCCAAAAGTTACCACTGACCTTAGAAAATATCACTATGTTTGATTATTCCAAAAGTTACCACTGACCTTAGAAAATATCACTGTGTTTGATTATTCCAAAAGTTACCACTGGCCTTAGAACATATCACTGTGTTTGATTATTCCAGAAGTTACTGCTGGCTTTAGAAAACATCACTGTGTTTGATTATTCTAAAAGTTACTGCTGGCTTTAGAAAACATCACTGTATTTGATTATTCCAGAAGTTACTGCTGGCTTTAGAAAACATCACTGTATTTGATTATTCCAGAAGTTACTGCTGGCTTTAGAAAACATCACTGTGTTTGATTATTCCAGAAGTTACTGCTGGCTTTAGAAAACATCACTGTGTTTGATTATTCCAGAAGTTACTGCTGGCCTTAGAAAACATCACTGTGTTTGATTATTCCAAAAGTTACTGCTGGCCTTAGAAAATATCACTGTGTTTGATTATTCCAAAAGTTACTGCTGGCCTTAGAAAACATCACTGTGTTTGATTATTCCAAAAGTTACTGCTGGCCTTAGAAAACATCACTGTGTTTGATTATTCCAAAAGTTACTGCTGGCCTTAGAAAATATCACTGTGTTTGATTATTCCAAAAGTAGAAGAACAAAAAATTTTATTTTATATTAGTTAATGTAAATTTAAGGAAAGTGGTAAATGTGATTACATTTGTTAAGCCTAATTGAACCTCCTTGCTTCCTCAAGTTAGGTGCTTTATACCATATCATCAGGTGTCTTGAACTACACACAAATAATACTTTTTTTGGCTGCTTTAAGCCCACCTCAGCTAATGAACTCTGAATAAAAAAACTTGACCACTGATTTGTGGCATACAAAACTGAGATAGACAATGAAATACAATTTCTACATGTTTATTTTTGACTTGAAACCTATTTCAGTCTAATTAAAGTTGCAAATAATGCCTGTTGAGGTAATTGAACAATTTGATTTTTCAGTTACTCCTTTTTTTCCAGCAGTTGAACCTACTTGGGTTATGGTGATTGCAAGTGATGCCTCAAATTAACAATACCTTTCATAACCTTGCACCTAGTTCCTATGGGCCTCGTATGGCCAGGAAGTCAGAGATCAACTCACAATCGGCAAACATTCACTGTTACTGATGTGAATATTCACAATATAATGCATTTTGCCTGAAGCTACTATGATATGAACAATTAGGTTAAATTTTTCAAATAATTTATCAGGATATCTTTTTGTGTTAACCAATTTATACATTTTTCAAAATTCATTTTTATTGTGAGATCTTTTCTATATAAGACCACACTTGTTATTCATTTGCAGTTTTCAGCAACTAAGAAAGTACGTAAAAATTACCTTATATAACCTCATTATGGATAAGCTTCCAAAAATAATGAATTTCAAATGAAATTCATTTTTTTTTTATTAAAAGAAGATATGACATAATTATGTCTCTCACATGCCCAAAAATTGGTGATGATTGCTGCATTATAAATCCAAGTTAAAATTAGTGATATAAATTCTACCAGAAGTATTTTGAATTCCATTAGCATCATCCAGGAAGAGTCAGACTTTTATTCTTGATTAACACCAGCAATGTTTACTATGAATATATAATGTGATTTTGAATATATTCATTGGGAGTGAATAGCAATTTTACAGTAATTATATAAACAGTATGTGGAGATAAAAAAAACTCTTAAAGAAACAAAATGTAGTTTATTTTTTTAACAGCTTTTATAAGTGATGCCAATTATGCAAGCTTTAAAAAACTTCAATTTCTTTTCTATATTTAGGCATTAGCCAAGGCAGTACATGATCTCACCCAAAGAAAAAGTTCATTGAGAATTGGTGAGCTTTCAGTGAGTAGAACATCATTGATTTTTCATTTCATATACTTCCCATTATATACTCTTGTCTTCCATACATTTATAAACAAAGCTTAACTTTAAAAAGTCAAATTAAACACATAATTAATCATTACTACCCCCCAAGTTGAATTCAGATTAGTTTTTAAATCCACATCATGCATACAGGACTTTTTCTGTACTAAAGACCTTTTGCCAATTTCTCTTTGTTCTTGGCTTGTATATATTTAAATGTGTAGAAACTGTAAGGCCTCCTATATTGGCAAAACCAAACATCATCTACTAGTTAGAGCTAATGAATATATGGGAATTTACACAAAAACTCAAACAAAATTGTGTAATCCCTGTGCTTCCTCTATATGCTAACATAGTGAAGGAACAAAACATGAACTTATCAAATTTCAGTATCCTTTTCAAGGCCAACACTGATCTGGAATTACTGATTAAAGAAACCCTCCACATCAAACAGCATTCTCTAACCCTGAATAACATGTAGTCTTCAATTGAATTGCACAATCTTTAATATATATATATATATATATATATATGGTATTTTTGTTGTTACTTGTCTGCTTCCTAAGTGCTTTAGTTTTGATTAAGTTACTGTTAAAGTAGCAATGTATTTTAATCATTTACTTAGGAATGATGTAGTTCTTTATATTTTTGCACTAGATACTGAAGATGGAATCTGTAAAATTCCAAAATATTTATCTTGTTCCGTTCTGTTACAATATTGTCCATCTTAAGTATCATTATCGTTTTTATTGTCAAAATATTTTATTTTCCTTCAAACACATTAATTGCTAATATTCATATTTAGTTCTTATTCATACAAACCTTTCTCAATATAAAAAGAGTTGTTTGAAAATTTTATGAATCATGCTCAATGTTTTATTCAAAATAGCACATTATCTGTTCTTATTAGTCTTCTATATAATAGTAATAAAATTTTTAAAGATACTCAAATGAAACCTGAAGTTTTTTAGTTATAAACTGAATTAAACTATTCTTAAAATGTTCCAGTCTCTAGAGGGCATGGAACTAGGAACTCGAGCACCAACATTTATCAAGCATGATGCAATTAATCATTGTATGGTCTGTGGTAGCCAGTTCAACACTTTTTCTCTCAAAAGAAAACACCATTGCCGAGCCTGTGGAATTGTAAGTAATTAAAATATATTTTACTTTCCAGTTTAACTTCTATGTTAATAAGAAGATATTTGAAATAAATCAATATAGAAATTTCAAAAATAAAGGTAAAATAAATACAATGAAAAACAAATGCTAATACAATATTCACTGTTTTGTTGATGTTGAAACCAACATCTTGAACAACATATAAGGTAGTAGATTGGCAAAAATATAACAAAAAATATCCTATAATGTTTTAGTAATATAAAATGCAATGTGTTAGTATTTATTTTTCACCATATACTGTTTTAGTCATCTTTTGATTTTAACTTGTATTAATATTCTGTCTTGGTATCAGCTTATTTGAAACACACTCGTATATTGTGTTACATATTAGAATTTCAAATGGTCTGAAACCGAG